TTTGTGCCTTTTTTTTTTTTTTTTTGGACCTACCTTTTTTCTGAAGGCAGAACTGAGTTGAGTCTTGTGCTAACGGCTGCAGCAGGAGTTTGGCGATGTAAAACGGTTAGGTGACTCCACCCCGGGAATGTTTTTGATGGAGGCTGGTGACAGCCGTCGCTTTAGGTGTAATGATGTATGAATGGGAGCTGCACTACTGAAGTGCTTTGGTGCTTTGTTAAGAAAGGTGTCTCATCTGGCGAACTTGGGGTCTTATCTCTGAAGTTAATGAGTTTTAAAATGTTGGGGGGTAGGGGTGGGGAGGAAGCTGCCATTTTTCTCCTTGTGCTTTAAAAGTTGAAGGAACTGACTCATAGGTAGCTTTAATAGTTGGGTTTCAGCAGTCTTAAAATCTTGTTTGTGAATATGGATCTATGGACAAGACTGCTCCTAAACTATACATCTGTTGGAAAAAGAATCAGATCCCAAAATCCTTGTGTCCCATGCTGATCTCCCAGGAGTCTTAGAAGAGGATATCTTGGAAGCAGCATGTAATCTAAACTGGCAGACAAGGACCTTTTGGTAGATGTGACTTTTTATTATTATTATTAGACCAACTAAATAGTTGGAAGAATTGTTCTTTGCAAGCTTTTGGGTACAAATGCCCTTCTTCAGGCAGAGGGAGTGTGGGTTGCAGTTGTCTGAGGATTTCCTGTAGAGGCTCCAGGGGGGGATGGTATGTCATGTAACTAATTGTGTACGACTTGTGGGGATTTTCATTTTGTACTGCAGACCAGCAGCAGATTCCACCTATGCCTGAAGAAGGGTGTTTGTGCCCAAGGGCTTGCAAAGAACAATTTTTCCAACTACTCAGTTGGTCTAATGAAAGAGATCACATTTACCCAAAGAAGCTTGTCTACCTGTGTCTGTAGATCAGCACAGCTACAACCAACCCCCTGGTGTAATCTGAACAGTAATTTATACACTCTGAGGTAGGAAACATTGTGTGGTTGAAGACTGTGGACTCCCTATAGGGCTCCTTCCACCTTGATTTGTAGTTTTAAGGTAGTGTTCTCCACTGATGCTGCATTTGGCAGGTATGTTTCCAAGAGACTCTTTTAGGAACATCTGCCATGTTTATTGCCATGCTAGTACTTGATAGAAAATCCAGGGGAAGAGACGCAAAAGAAAATAGCTTACTAGTAATAGCAAGCTTTCAGTTTTCTTCCATCTCATCTTCCTGCTCCTGCATGGCATTTTGAATCTGTCTTTCCCAAAAGGCTGTTTGAGAAGTTCTCACAGACATCTGCCTGTAGAGGCATAACAGGTGTCTATACAGGTGTTTGAAAGCAAACTGGTGGGAGGAAAAACATTTGCCTTTCTGCTGCAGCTGCAGGGTAGAGGAGTGAGCAGGATATAAATGACTGAAGACAAGCTACTGGTGACTTTTCTTAAATCCTGAAACTGTTGTAGGAGTTTTTTTTTTTTAGATCAGACTCTTCTTTAGATAAAAGAAAAAATATTCAGTATGCTTCAAGAGACCTCCTTGAGGATCAAGTGTTTGTTGTAAATAAAGTTGGAATTTCTTAACTGCTCCTTTATCTGCAATATTGACTTTATTGCCTTGTACACACAGTGATGCAAGTTGGTCCCAGTTTCTTCAGACTTAAGTTTTAGTGACTGAATATTGAATGCAGAATGATCTTTGGTGGAGGGAGGATTGTACTTGATTTAAAACAAAGACCCAGTTTCCGAGAGTTCACTTTTTACATT